ACCTTTACTTTTCTATAGCTAAAAGTGGTCCTAGGATTATAGAGTATTAAGGAAGGACTTATGTTCATATATCTTACTACTTATACAATTAGTCTTCAGATGACAGCAAAAATCCCTGAGGAGAAAAGTCTRAAAAATAGTGATCTAATAATATTTGATGCTTACTGTTTCCTAAAACTTACAGAAGAGGAGAAAAACATTTGCTGTTAATCAAAAAATTTGTTATGGGCTGGGGCTGTAGCTCAGTGGTAGAGCGCTTGCCTTACACGCGTGAGGCACCGGGTTCGATCCTCAGCACCACATAAAAATAAACAAATAAAAATAAAGTTTTTTTTTTAAATGACCCTTCTTCTTTCCTTTCCTTCTTTAAAAAAATTGTTGTTAGAAAATGTCATGTTAATATTTCCATGTGCATCTTGGGGCTGTGCACATGATTTATGTGAAGACAGTAATATGATTTAGCAGTGATCCTAACAGCTTTCAGATAGTTATAATTACTAACCCTGCAGGTGACAATGGTAACTGAATGGCCTTAGAAAAAAGCTGAAGGATTAAGAAAATCCAGTACTGGGCTTTGGGATTGGTGGGAAATGTAAAATTGCAGTTGAAATGAGGCAGAGGAAAAGTAATTGTGATCAGAAAGTAGCAAAATGAAATGATAAGATTTTAGAAGTGGTTGTGACAGCTTAGTCTGTGACTAGAGAATGTTAGCTGTGTTCAATAAAATGCAGGCTAATCTGTCCTCTGTATGTCAACCAATAAGACTGTGAGGAACAATGAGTCAAGTACAGAAAAAAAGAACACCTTCCAGAACCTCAGTATTGAGGATAAGGAGCTTCMGTTGATAAGTCCTTTGCCCTCTGGTTTCTAACAAATAAAGAYTGGTTAATAATGCACATCATGRTAGTCCAGCACTTCCTGTGTGTCAGCGTGTACCTAAGAACTTGGCATGTATTAGAATATTCACAATTCTATGACAACAGGTACTTTTGTGCCCATTTTACAGATAAGAAAAGAGATATGAAGTGAGCAATTTAATATGGGCTGTAAATTCTGGGGAGGAGATATGGACAGATTTGGGATGAGAGAATATTTTACAAAGGGTGGCAGAAAATGAGAATAAACAGAGTCCAGAAAGAGATCTGTCTTTCTAGGTGTACTGCACTCCAAGGATGCCARGCTGCATAGCGAGGTCTGGGGAAGGATGAGGCCATGAGGCACTGGAGCCATATTGGAGAAAGTCCTAACTCCCAGTTTCAGATTTTTGAACCTGATTTGGGAGACAGGAGGAAAGTGTCATAATCATAGCTGTGCCTTAAAATCACTACCTTTTGATATGAACAAATTAGAGAGCGGCTGGAGTGAAAGGATTAAGGGTCCTTTTAGTCCTGATTATTTGACAAAGAATGAGTCTATTAATGAAGAGCAGCAGTCAAAGGTCGAGGGAAGAGACACGTTTGATATTTGTTGCAAAGGTCAAGTGTAAAATTTCGATAACTAGTTGGAAGAAGGGAACTGGGGTGTGGGAAGAATTCAAATAGAATCCAAGATCTCAAGTGTGACTGGGTGATTTATTGGCCAGAATTCAGGAAAGGCACTTTGCAGGGGTGACAGGAACAGTGTGAATTGCTGACTTAGGAAATATGTAATTTGTCTTGTGTGCAAGCTGCCAGAAGGAGGACCACACTTAGAGGAGTCTGAGCTAGAAAGGAAGTTTCTGGTGTCACCTACGTAACAAGTGCTGTGGTCAACTGGGAGGTGTATAATCTCTGAAGTGGGAAAAGGGAGAAAATAGAGAACATATCCTTGGAAAACATTTAAATTTGGAAATAAGAGAGGAAGAGGAGCAAGCAAAAGAAATAGGACAGAGATGAAGGAAGAATAAGAAGCCCAGGAATGTTCAGCCCTATCACTGAGTTCAAGGCAATGGAAGGCTCCAGAAAAGAGCTAGGTTGGCAAGACCTCAAAGAAGCCAAGAAGAATAAAACTATTTGGTTGATTAGAAGTTGTCAGGATCAACAATAAAAGGGTGGAAGGAAGACTTAGATGGTGAGGAGTGAATAACAGATCAGAGCAGGAAAAGGCAGCAAGCCTGGTTGGCAGGGTTAATTTGACCACAAGAGGGAAAGGGAAGACAAGACAGCAGTGTWGAGGGCAAGCCAGAAGAGGGAAAGTGCTTTGTGTTAACTAGAAGAGCACCATTTAAGTCCATTTTAGACAAGCAGACATAGAGAGTCCAGTAAAGATGACAGTCAGTGCTGGGTAGTAGCAGTGAAAAAGCTTTCATCGGCAGGAATTCACAGAGGATGAGCCCCTAAACTGTTTTCTGGCCTTGTCATTAAACAAACCAGAATGCATGGAACTGCTGTCCTTAGCAAAGCCCATGCAGCCATTCTCTTAAAGAAGAAGTCAAGGACTAATGAGCAGAGTCATATTTCTTCTTTTCTGGGGAATACATGAATTTAATTCATGTATCCCAGAGCAAGTGGGGGAATCGCTCTTGTTGTAGACTGTTTTTAAAGAGTAAAATAACTTCCCTGGAAAGAGAAGAAGGCAAGAAATTTTGATAATGAATTTGGAATGTAATGAATTTACACTGTAAAATGTAAGGATTTTTATAAGTACTATTTGCAGATTGCTTTACATTGTAAATACTGTCTGCACAACACGGGGGAGGTCATTTTGAGCCTGTTTTTTCACAAAGTAGTTAAGTGCATGAGTTATGTAACTCACTCTGTAATAGGCAAAAGCTGTCTAGAAAAAAAATAAATAGACAAAAATATTGATGGTAGCTATTGAGTGATGGTTGCTTTTGACTGCTGTCAGCCTAGGCAGGACAGCCACTATAAAACATTCAGCAAACAACCTGTCCATCATCTTATCCTGTCAGGTTGGGGAGTAGGTACCAAGCACAGGATGTCAGAAAGGATGAGATGAACCAGAGAAATGATAAAGGAGCAGAGTTAAGAGAGACTCAGTGTTCAAGGGGACTATGCCTGTTCTCTCTTCTATGGGATGAGCTGGGTACCCTGCATGTTCAGAAACGGCCCCTAGGGTCCCTTGGTTGTCACATTTCTGCACAGTCCTCAGACATGGAGAAGAGTGTTGGAGGTTGTTAGCACATCTCCCTCTGGAGTTGAAACTGGGCTCAGCATCAACAAATGAACCCCAGCGGGGATGTGTCTCTCCTCTGTGCTTGGATAATGGCTATTCCCAGATGCCCAGGGAAGAATTAAGTTCAATATGTGCCTTGTGCTGTATTACACACTGCATCCTGAACAGCTGGGCTTTTAATACAATTTAGAAAGAAGAGAACTGGCTGTTCACCACCCGTATATAAGGTATTTGTAATAAATCTCTCGATGAGGAGATATAAAAATTTCTTGTTTCTGTATAGCCAAAGGAAGCAGAGCATTAGGCAAGTATCCAGTGAGTCTTATTAACAATGATAACCAATGCGGAAGATCCGAAGGGACTTGCTCCACATTTCTATCAGTAATGGTAATTTTTTTTATCTGAAATATGCTGGTAATTTTCTCACTTGCAAAATTCAATTTRCTTAAGGATTAATAAATATGATTTTTCTTAATACTTATTGAATCCCCTCCATGTTCTAGATGCTGCATAAAAATAGAGCATCATCTGTCACCTGATTTTCTTTTGTTCACTTTATCTCTGAGATGATAAAATAGTAAAGCCAATGCAAGATGATTTCTTTTCAAGAGAATGCAAAATAATATAAAACAGTGGAGTTTTATAAAAAAATTAATATTATATATGAAGTTCCTACTCTAAAATTTAGTAAAATAGAAAGCATGTGACAATGAACTAGTACAAATACAAGAATTTCGGTTCTCATGTGGGTGTTTTTGGTAGGGACGTGGTTAGTAGTGTCAGAAAGAGGACGTTTTCCTCCTAGATTTGTCAACTTCTGTGTTGTCCCCASCCTCAAAGCCAGGAACAGCCCTAAACAAATTATCCTGCCACATGAGTTAATAGATAATAAACAGGATAAAGACTGACAATGGACAGAAAGGAATGACAAATTAAAAATAATTGTTAAAATTTCACCTGAAATATTTACTAGTAAAATAATTTCTTACCATAGTCAGAAGTACACAGATCACAGTCACTTATACTTTATACCAAAATAATTTCAGTGTTTAAGAGGATTCCTACCCTCTTGTTCTTAAGGCAGAGGAATAGAATATGTAGTGGAACCATTACATAGCAATTTCAACTATCAAGATATCCGTTTTTAAAAAAGAGTACAAGATCACTAATTTGTGTTCAGTGCATCAGATTATTTGATCTGTCAAGAAATCATCCCTACTGACTCAGATTTTTACAATAGTAAAATGGCACATGTACATAATATTTAAATTTTATTTATCTTTTATATTCTAAAAGCACAAAAAGGGGACCAATTCTTTAAATTCTACATTTCCTAAAATTAAAATGCCTATCCCAGCATTACCTAGACACAGTGTTTTCCTGCCCTTTGTTTCAGTGACAGCGTAAATAAAGTGTATGTGCCACCATGAAGCATTTTTCTCTGAGGGGCACTTAAGCAACCTCCAGTTTCTGTGTTTGGATATTCTTCAGCAACCATCTTTGTATTTCCTAATATTTGAGTTTCTTCCCTCCACACAGCCTTCCTGAAATGAAATTACTGGATTAGGGAAATGAATATTTTAAAGCTACTGTTTCTCAACATATTTCTAAATGGCTTTCCAGTAGAGTATTTATTAATTTACCTCACACTAGCAATATGTGAGAATTATAGTGTTACCCTGGGCTTAACAAGCTGCTAATAAGACTGCATTGCTTTTATTTGCATTTATTTCATCCTCAGCAGGCTTGGAGAATCTTGCAAGTATCCATTTACAATGTTTTCATACATTGCGTTCTTCATTTTTGTTKCGGTCGTTTTCTTATGGGTTGGCTCCATGCTCCCAGCTCCCACCTCATGTCTTCTTCCCTTTTATTGCCTTGTCCAGGTTCCCATGATTCATTCAGCTACTGGGTGGATGAAAAGTCCCCCGTGGGGCCTGACCAAACTCAGGCTATCAAACGCCTTGCCAGGATCTCCTTGGTGAAGAAGCTCATGAAGAAATGGTCTGTGACTCAGAACCTGACCTTCCGGGAACAGCTGGAAGCTGGGATCCGCTACTTTGACCTGCGTGTGTCTTCCAAGCCAGGGGACACAGACCAGGAGATCTACTTTATCCATGGGCTTTTTGGCATCAAGGTCTGGGATGGGCTGATGGAGATTGACTCCTTCCTTACACAACACCCCAAAGAGATTGTCTTCCTGGATTTTAACCACTTCTATGCTATGGATGAGGCGCATCACAAATGCCTGGTTCTCCGGATCCAAGAGGCCTTTGAAAACAAGTTGTGTCCAGCCTGCAGTGTGGAAAGCATGACGCTGCAAACCCTRTGGGAGAAGAAGTACCAGGTAGGMGGGAAGGAGGGACAGGAGGGACGAGCGGTCCAGGGCACGAAGGCAGCTCTTTCTGCTTTTCCTGTGTATTCATCTGTAAAACAGCTCAACCCTGGGCTCAAAGGCTGGAAAGTGTGGAATTGTTTGGTACATTGATTCCTGAGCTCTAGGATAGTTGCAAAGCTTCCCTGAGCTCTATTTCACTGGGTTAACCCCTGCCCAATATTTAAAGTTTGGCAATCTGCTTGGCATGTAAATTGACAGAAACGCCTGCTCAGAACTAGCCRGAGGCAAAATTGTGAAATGGGCCAGTAGGTCCTTACCATTCTATCTTCCCAGAGGTCTGCTTTAAACCCACACTCTCAGGTCTCTGCAGCTCACCCTTGCCAAGGTATTGAGTGAAAAGGAGCAGTATTAGCTGACAAAGTTGTATGAAGTCATTCATCACAGGAATATGACTATTTTACAGGCCCTCCTCATAGAATTTGGGTCACAGACAGAGTTAAGAAAGGAAGACCTGTTGAACACACCTGCTGAGAGTGTGTTTCCAGAAGAGCCTCCAAACCTAGACCATGAGGGACACAATCAGACAAAGGAAGTGGGACTCAAAAACATTCCACTCTGGTTTCACGGATGGTAGCAGCAGGGAAGAGCTTCAGGGAAAGAACAGTGTTTTGATCAGCTTTTTCATCACTGTGACCAAGGCCTGATAGTTAAAGAGAAGGAAAAGTTTATTGGGGGCTCCCAGTTTCAGAGATTACGGTGCACTCTATACCGCTGGGCCCAAGATGAAACAGAGAATCATGGGAAAAAGGAGTGGTAGGAGAAAAGCAGCTTAGAATATGGCAATGGGAAGCAGAGAGAGCTCCATTCACCAGGGACAAAAACTCCAAGGGTACATCCCCAGAAACCTGCCTCCAGCCACACCCTACCTGTCTACAGTTACCACCCAGGTAATCCCTATCAATGTTTTTATCCATTGGTTAGGTTACAACTCTCACCATACAACCATTCCACCTTAGAATGGAATGGTCTCAAATGGTCTCACACATGAATTTTGCGGGGAGCACCTCATATCTAAATCACATCAAGCAACCAATAATTTAGTCTCTTAAAAAAAAAAAGCAAGTACCTTAAAGCAAAGTTGCTTATTTGCCTAATAAATGCAAAAAGCAAAACATCCTTAAGAGAGACAGATGTTTTTGAACTCAGGGAGAGACTTAGTTAAAAATAAGTTAAAGATTATGTATTTGGGCTGGGGATGTGGCTCAAGCGGTAGCGCGCTCGCCTGGCATGCGTGCGGCCCGGGTTCGATCCTCAGCACCACATACAAACAAAGATGTTGTGTCCGCTGAGAACTAAAAAAAAATAAATTAAGATTATGTATTTGTAAATTTTTTTAAAGAGAGAGAGAGAGAGAGAAAGAGAGAATTTTTAATATTTTTATTTTTTAGTTTTCGGTGGACACAACATCTTTATTTTACTTTTATGTGGTGCTGAGGATCGAACCCAGCGCCCCGCGCATGCCAGGCAAGCACGCCACCACTTGAGCCACATCTCCAGCCCCTGTATTTGTAAATATTTACTGAATACCAGTATGTACCAGGTACCATTCTTATCAGTGAGTAAGCAGACAATGATCCTTGCCCTAGTGGAGCTTTCATTCAAGTGGGTAGAGATAGGTCATAGAACAAAGGTAATAAATATGTGTTGGTGAAAAGTGGTAAGAACTGTGGAAAAGGAGAAGCTCAGCATGGTATCTGGGAACCAGGACTGTGTGGGTGGGTTGGTTGAGTTTTGCATAGGATGAGCAGGGCAATCTATGTGAAGATTTATGGAAAAGGTTGCATTCAAAGGAGTGAAACATGAGGGTCTTTGGAGGCAGAGGAAGCAGCCAGCACAGAGGCCTTGAAGCAGGAGTGTCCCTGATATCTTTGAGGAAAAACAGGGACAGAAGCTAATAAGCAGGTAATGAAGAGCAGGAAGAGGACAGAGAGATAGTCGGTGGTCACACAGGGGAGAGTTCTGAGCACAGCTTTGCCCTGATGCAGGTCTTAATGGGATCCCTCCAATTCTTGTGCTAGGACAACATCAGGGGCAGGGGGGAGAGGGCAGAAGTGGGGAAAMCAATGAGAAGACTTGACGGCAAGTGCTAAATGTTTTGACTCCACAGAGGCTGATTGAGGTAAATCTTAGTATTTGTTAAAATATGTCTAAGTCATTTTTTCCTCACTAAAACTTTTGTGATATTTTGCCAAATATTTATCACATCTCTCCCCCAAACCCAAGTTTATATATATTCAAAGTCACAGGTCCAACCAACCTGGAGAGATTTTGATCCCCGGAGAGTTTCTCTTTCACTTCACTAGATAATAGTAATAATAGCAGTAACACCTAAGCCTTTATTATGTGCTAGGCATATGGATTAACTCACATGATCCTCCTAACAACACTATGAGATAGGTACTTTATTAGTATTCTGAAACTAGGCATAGGTTTATTGAGCAACTTGCTGGAGGAAAACATTGTGGGTGAGTGAAGAGCCAGGATTCCATCACAGGTTCTTTCTGCTCCAGACTTCCCATGGCTTCTGCTGCTCTCTGAGGGCTGCTCATGCTCCCTGATCATTTCACAACTGCTCTCATCTGTTTTGCTAATAAAATGCTTTTTTTTTATCAATAAGCCCCTAATTTCAGAGGGTCCCAGAGTAGAATAGAAAAAAGGAAAGGTTTTGATATGGGGTTTCAGGTAAGGTTAATTTGAGTTCAAATAAAAGTTCAGGATTTTGTACCCTGCTCATATTCTGAATGGCTGATGTATTGCAAACTAAATTGACTACAAACCTGCAGGAGTTAGAAGTATCTTCAGGAATAACAAATAGTGTGGACAGTGAATTTCTAGYAGCAGAAGGAAAGTCCATTGTGGTTTTTAAGAATGGGATAAATTAACTGTGTCATCCAACCTCAAATACCTCTAAAGTTAYGCAGAGTCTATGATGACATATCAGAAAGGGCAGTCTAAATCCCAGGATCCCCCTATGCTCCTTCCTTCCCCATGTGACTGGTGCCGAGTCTTTAAAAGTTAAAACAAGAAGTCTCAAGGAGGATTACCAGTCTTTTTGCTGTGCTGGATTGGGCTCCCACTTTAAATATGGTCAGACTCTAAATATTCACTATGTAATGACCTGCCTTGTGTTTAACCCTGAATATTTTATTATGCAATTTAATATCAAAAAGTGTACTATGATCTAGTCAAATTTCATACATTCAACATGCAGGTATGTCACAGCTCACAGGCATGCATATGGGGTCGGAGGGTACAATGAATCAGAAGATTGAATGTACATCTCCAAAGTATTTATGATCTCATGGAGAAGGTAGGAATAGACWACTCTAGTAAATACAAAACAATTAATATGCAAACACAAGATAAGRCTACCTTGAATGCTCTGTAGCATAGGAAGGGATTTTTTTAAATAAATCAGATGAAAAGTAGAATATAGCATAAATCTGCCTCCCAAGGCCCCCAGTAAAGAAATACTCAGAGTAAGAGGCGGTCAATCAAGGAATAGTTCTTAAAGGAAATGAGATTTTTAAAACTGTCTCAAGAGGAAAACCGAACATGAGCTGCTGAGCTATAGGGTAAAGTGTTTCAGAGAAAACTGCAGCAGAATGAGGTGGGGAAGAGGATGCAAAGCACAGACGAGAGACTCCACCCCTGAAATCTTGTAGAATGAGAGCTGATTTGCTTAGGCTGGCCTCCACTGTGGGCAGAAATTCCCCTGAAACCTTCAGGGTCACATTGCTCAACAGGGCACTTGAGGAAAAGCATGAAGCCCCCTTGCAAAATTTGTACTGTTTGCACCTTTTCAAAGCAGAACAAAGGATAGCACTGTCCTTTTGGGATGCTTTGCCTAGGGGCCAGGTGTCAAGGGAGACCTGTGGCAGGCCTGACACAAGCCTGCACAGCTTCCTCCCCCTCTCACAGCCCACTGCCCAGGGCAGCTCTTCTGGGAGTCCCCAGCCTTCCAAACTTGCCAATTATACCATTGCCAGGAGGAAATCCTCCAAGATCTCCCAGGCAATCTGCTTACTGTGAGCCTGTGATTAACCTCATTAAGGCGTGTTTACCACAGACATCATTTGCAGCCAGTCAGCATTATTCAAAACCATTAAAAACAGCAAGCCATGACCCTGCTTAGTGCATGCAGCCTGGCACTCGCTGGCTCTGGGCCTCTGGGACAGTCAGTCAACACCTTAGTCACCAGCTAAATGTACACTGGAAACATGATGGACTGCAAAGCCCTTGTTCTTGGGTGCCTGGAGGATTGGGCTCCAGGCCAGCTATCTGAGGACTGTAGTCCAGGGACCCTGCATCCCCAGAACTTTCCTTTAGCAGATCATGGGAGCTCAAAATGGCAAGAAATATATTACTTCTAGAAACCTACACAGAGATCCGAATTGGGACAATTGAAATAGCAATTCCCTGTCCCACAGCTGCCTCCCAGACACTAATTAATGCTGTGGATATGACTGGCTAATTATTTTCAAAATTACCATCATTGTGAGTGGTCCCACTGGAGGCCCATTGCCTCTGTAAAGTCATCCCTGTCTCGAGTGGCACATTCCCTTCCTCCACTGGGAGGCATGATTTCATTCAGAGTCAGKGCACATAGTTAAAAATCTAAAGACTCACAAATCAGTTCAATGTGTTTATCGAAACTCCAAGAGCTCGGTGTCAATTTCATGAACACAGGAAACATAACTTCTAAACCACATGAGCTAACCCAACCTGAGAGTTTTCACGCTTGAAGTCCATAGATTTCCCAAGGGGGTATGGATGGATATAATTTAAGAAGACTGAATTTGGATGATAAAATATTACACATTTGTTCTTACTAAACTTTAACTGAAAATTCATTTATAAGTACAGGCAGTGGCCCACAACGGTGTTGGCTTTATTACTTTATCCCCATAGATGTCCATCTCACATTTCAGTTATTGCAGCTATCTTAAAACCTCACTTGTGCTCATCACTAACTCAAATTGTGAGACTTACTAGACTCACAATAAAATATTTTATTCAATGAATTTATCAGGAGGGGTATGCATTTATTTATTACAAATGTACTTAATGTATTCATAGATCTGTTTTCTTATCATTGGTTTCCTTTGTCATCTTGTCTATTTTATTTTCCTTTGTGATCTTGTTTATTTTATTTTATATTCATTTATAATTCTGAGAAGGTGGCAGTGATTTTTACCAGACTTCCAAAGTTGTTCATGACAAAAAAATAAAAGAATCTTTGAGTCAGTCATATAGAAGTGCTTAGTAAATCTTTGCTCGTTGATTTTTTAAAGTATGTACATAACAATTTTTTCATTCCCACATATATTTGTCTTTCCTCCCAGTAATCAGTGTAAATCCCAGGGGTTAGTTAGCATTCAGCTTTTTCATGAGTTGCCTTTCTTGGTTTTGAACATTTCAGGTTCTTATCTTCTACCACTGTCCCTTCTACAAGCAGTACTCCTTCTTGTGGCCAGGAAAGAAGATTCCAGCACCTTGGGCAAATACCACAAATGTGAGAAAACTAATCCTCTTCTTGGAGACCACCCTGAGTGAGCGGGCCCCCCAGGGCTCCTTCCATGTCTCCCAGGCAATTCTTACCCCCAGAGTGAAGACCATCGCCCGAGGCCTTGTGGGGGGCCTCAAGAACACCCTGGTTCATAGGTAAGAGTTTGCTTCTACCCCATGTGTTAGGTTTTTAAAGCATATTTACCTTGATTCTCTTCTGAATACATCGAAGTAAAACTTTAGAGATTAAAAAAAAAATTAAAAAAACACCAAGTGTTGGAAATAAGATGTGAATTTGAAGGGGATTGCATTAATAGTGCCCAAAAGAACCCTAAACATTTCGTTAAAATGTATACATTATTCCACAAATACTCTCTACATTTTGATACTAAGGCAACCCACTTTGCGTCAAAGCCACTGTCTGATCACTTCTGACATCTGGCCTCATCATGTCCCTGCCCCTGTCCTGTTAGCCCAGGTACTCACTCATTGAAGTGGTATGAATCACAAACTACTCTGCTGAGTGCTAGGAATTCAGATGTGGCCCATCAAGAATTTGTTCTTCTCCCTTCCATGGGGACCATGAGTCCTAAGTTCTATGACATAGCTTCAAATACTTCCTCAAGGAAGAATTAAGCCTGACTGTACAATTAAGCAGGAAGCACTCAATCATTTYGTAGGAGATGATGTTCTTTATCCTGGACACCAATGAATACAATGAATGACAGGTGTTGCAAGAAAAGGATGGTTTAGATGGATGTATTATTTACATATATATATATGTAAATAATACATTTGAACAATAGGGTATCCCTCACAATTCCAGCTAATATGTTTGAGTAACAAAAGATATTCACAAGAATCAGTTTGGTTCCTGAGTTCCGTATGGTGAGTTCAGATTTCAAATAGTGAAATATTCATTCAACACTTGTCCCTATTTGTTTGTTTCTGAGCTTGGAGAGCATGAGTTCAGATAACAGTAAATCAGGAATTTAGAGAGTAAGAAGTACCTGCAGTTTTCTTTCTTGGTGAAAGCTCCTGATTTTGTAGACTATGGACAGAACCAGAAACCCCTTTCGGTGTGCCTGTAACTCTTAACTTAGAATTTATGTACTTGGCTCGAACCAAACAATCCAGTGTGATATCTCTTTGGAGGATTCAGAATTATAAATTTTAAAAAATAACGTATATTCATGAACTTGCACCATTTTCCTCATATCTTTAGTAAACTTGTAGATTAACATTATTTACTTATTCATACAACAAACTAAGTACCTAAGAGGAAGTAGGTGTGAATGTACAAGATGAATAACAGTGTCTGCCTCGTGGAATTAATTCTCAGTCTCACAGAAAACACTAGAATGAACATTTCTACTTAGAAATGTGAAAAATCACTATAATAAAAATCTGTACAGAAAGCTGTACTAGTAAGAGAGGAAGGACTATTTAAAAATCAGCATAAGTTAGATCTTTTTACTGTTTCCTGAATATGAAATGCCTTTTTTGCATGTGACTTCATTTGGTTTTTAAACCCAAGCCAGGCTCCAGAGGACACATTCTCTAAAGCACTTCATCATCCCCACTTAAGGTGGAATCCAGTGGCTCTAGGTGACCCACACATCTTGTACTCTGGTCATTGCACCACCACCCTCTCCAGCGTGCCACACTGCCATGGATATAGCACATTTTATTGCCCTGTTCTTTTCTGCTCCACAGGCTTTTTGTCTTCTTAGTCCCTGAATCTGGTCAGATCTCCTTGTTTACAACTGTTAACCCTCAATTTCACCATGATTTTTATATTTGTTAATTCTTAGCACTTTAATATGCCTGCAAATGAATCCCAAGCTCCTTGTTTGGTGGTAATGATAGTAGCATGTGCCTAAGGCCAAGATCTTTCAGTGTGCCAGAGCTCTTGTCCAACTGGTAGTAGGCTGAGGTCCCTGATCTTGGAAAGATACTTTGGCATCTTAATCCCTGTTCATCACAAGAATATCATGGGTGTGATCATGCATTCCTATGCCTGCTCATCAACCAAAGGAGGAAATGCAGGTCTGGTCAGGAATGTRTTCCCAGATGCCAGCACAGCATGTGGTTGTCATCTCCTCTGAATTACTGGGCAAACATCTGTCCCTCCCCTGAGCATCAGCACTCAGAGTGTCTGTCCTAAGATATAAAAGAATAGGGGTGCTTCAGCTGACCCTAGGCACGGGTTATCATCTCAAACCAAGGAGAAGAAGACAAGCTGCATTATTCTACACATGCAGAGGTGGTTTTTTCTGCAGGTAGATAACCCCCACCCATGGGACCCCAATAAAGCCTTCAGCAAGCTTTGGACATGAGATCTTATACACCTTGGTTCATCACCCTAGAAGGAATCCACAAAAACTGAATTTTTATGGTACTTTCCACCAGACTCATAGAAATCTAAAATTCAGATTCCTAGCACTCCCCCTGAAATTAAAAAAAAAAAAATGAGTTTTGCCTAAGCTTGAAGATAGAGCAACCATGGAACTCAAGAAGGTGACATGGACTAAAATCAGAGGGCCTGAGACTGGAGCCTACATTGGTCCCTGTTGTGGTCTGAATTATGCCCTTAACCCCTAAATTTATATATTGAAGCTGTCACCATGCTTCCTTAGAATGTGACTATATTGGGAGAAGGGCCTTTTATAGAGATAATTAGGACGGGCCCTAATCCAATCTCACTGTTGTCATTAAAGGAAGAGAAAATGTAGACACCAGGCATGTGTTCAGGCATAGGAAATGTGAGAAGGTGGTCATCTACAAACCAAGCAGAAAGGCCTCAGAAGAGACCAGACCTGCTGGCACCTTGATCTTGGACTTCCAGCTTCTGGAATAAAAGAAAATATGCTCTAGTTGTTGAAGCCACCTAGCATAGATTTTATTAGGGAAACCTTAGCAAACTCATGCCGTCCCTTGGCAATAGTGTGGCCTTGGACAAGTTCTCTGGGCTGTGGTTTTTCCTCACCATTTAAAAGGGATTAATAGAACCCCACAAGATTATTATCCTAACCTGGAAATGCCTACCACAGTGCCTGGCATAGAATAGGTATGCCATCCCTGGTTGTAAAGAAACCCAGGAAGGCAGTGGGAACCAGCCTTGTCCTAGAGTGAGCCCCAAAGCCAAGGGGAAGTTTTTAGCTTACTGTTTTGCACCCTGAGGGGATTGTAGCCTGAGGGGCTGTCAGCAATATCTGTCAGCCTTGTTCATGGGCCTCTCATCCTGGGAAGTGCCAGGAGTTAAGAAAATAAAGTGGCTCCTCTTTCCAGTGGATTCTACATGTTCTTTTCTCTACACATAATCCCAGTTATTTTATCGGTGCCTTAGGGAAGACTGACCCGCAATGGACGCAGAGCTCTTTTTTCCTGGAGACCAGATTCACACCCTCCCCACATTTCTCTGCTCAGACTAACAGGGATCCCTCAAGGTTTGGCTCTGGCTGCTATTGGCTGGGGTTGCATCCAGGCCTTCAATTCTATTCATTCCCAAGACAGCCAGCAGATGGCACTTGCACCTCATACTTTAACAGACTAGGGATTTTTTTGTTTTGTTTTGTTTTGTTTTGTTCTTTTGTTTTGAAAAGAAGTCTGAATGCCTCTTATCATGAGTACTAGCAGGTTTTTCACGTGGGCCACTAGATATTTGTGAACTCTGTTCCAAAATAGGTCAGTATTTGTAGCCCTAACACTCAGATCATAACATTTTGTTGCCTAAAAAACAAAAGATGACTTTTTGAAGGCTTTTTTAAAAAATTTCCAGCTCCCAAATATCTCTACCTTATACTCTTTTATTCATGATTCTTTTTCTTTTGCCAGTTGCTTACATGCTACTTAATGTATCCCAGGTACTGCACTAAACACTTTATATATATTATYTTACTTAATCTCTACCCCCAAATCTGTCTGAGAGCATTATTACCACTGCTTTACAAGGAAGAAACTGAGGGACAGCAAAATTCAACAAGTTAAGGTCATATTGAGATTATTAARTTCTCAAGAATCCCAGCTAAAACTGGGAGCATTCTTGGGAGGGTAGTCTATTAAGTCATAATCTGCTATAAAATATAAAATGTAAATTGATTTGAGTTGATAGTAGAGTCCACTGATTAAGAGAAGAGATCCAGGACTGATTATAGGCATCATGGTAAGAGGAAAAGCAAGAGGGGAAGGGGRAAAAAAAATCTACCAAGGCTGTAATAACATTGTCTTTCTAGAAGACTGAGAAGTTAGATGTATTCCTAAAGGAGAGAGGGTGGCTTTAGATGTATTCTGAAAGAAACAGAAGGGAAAAATTGACAACCAAAGAGTGTGACCAAAAGAAGAGAAAGAGATGAGTTAATATAATACTTCACTTATTCTCAATTTTTGACCTAAAGCAAATCTTCCTAAAAAATTTCCGGTCCCTTCACCAAAGGTACGCACCAGTTTCTATCTCCCTCTAGTCATTTTCAACCCATTGAAGATTTAGTGAGCTGTTTTTATCATGATGAAAAATTATGAGTGCACTTTACGGCTTTCTCCTCTATAGCGCCCATGGTAGTTCACATTTACTACTAATGTAGAAACCATCACACTGAATTTTGTTTTAAATGTCACTAAACTGAGCTCTGGGCAAAAATATAGGAAGCCTTTGGTCTCGAAAATGGCACCAGCAGACTGTTCATGAGGCAACTGATTAGATATCAGTCTATCAGGAAGCCACATGTAGTGACAGGATAACTGTCTATCTGTGTGGAAAAAGTGAACTTTGACTCCTACTTTATGCTATACACAAAAATTAACCTGAGATGGACCTTAGACCTGAACTCATAAAGCTTTTAGAAGAAAACATAGGATATCTTTTTGAATGAGGAGTAAGTGAAGATTTCTTAGATCTCAGAAATTATAAAGGAACAAATTGGTAAGTTTGATTCTATCAAAATTAAGGAATTCCACTCATCTGAATGTGTCATTGAGACAAAAGCAAGCTACAGGATGGGAGAAAATAAACAAATATATGAAATAATGTTTATCATCACTAGCAATTAGAGAAATGCAAATAAAAACTACTCTAAGATTTCATCTCACTCCAGTCAGAATGGCAGTTATTATGAAGACAAGCAACATTTTTTATTATCAACATTTTTTATTATGTTGATGAGGATGTGGGGAAAAAGGTACACTCATACGTTGCTGGTAAGACTGAAAATTGGTGCAGCCAATATGGAAAGCATGGAGATTTCTTGGAAAATTGGRAATGGAATCACCATTTGACCCAGCTATCCCTCTCCTCAATCTATACCCAAAAGGCTTAAAAACAGCATACTACAGAGACACAGTCGCATCCTCTCTTCTCCCAGCACTTTCCTCTGAAAACTGGAAACACATGGAGACTCCTATTTATAGCAGCACAATTCACAATAGCTAAACTGTGGAACCAACCTAGATGCCCTTCAATAGACGAATGGATAAAAAAAAAAGTGTCAATGGAATATTACTCAACAATAAAAGAGAATAAAGTCATGGCATGTGCAGGCAAATGGATGGAGTTAGAGAAGATAATGCTAAGTGAAATTAGCCAATGCCTCCAAAACAAATGCCGAATGTTTTCTTTGATACAAGGAGGCTGATAGGGAGAGAGAGCATGGAAGGAATAGACAAACTCTAGATAGGGCAGAGGGGTTGGAGGAGAAGGTGGGGGGTATGGGGTTATAAATGATGGTGGAATGTGATTTACATTATTATCCAAAGTACATGTATGAAGACACGAATTGGTGTGAATATACTGTGTATACAACTAGAGATATGAAAAGTTGTGCTCTATATGTGTAATAAGAATTATAATGCATTCCGCTGTCATATATAAATTTTTTTAAAAAGCAAAAAAAAGAATGAAATATAATAAAGATTGGTTGAAAGCATTTTAAGTAAAGATACTTTGTTGATAATAAAAAAAAATCTAACAGACTAGAACCTAGGACATATAAGTAATATCAGTAGCTGAACATGTTCAAGAAGTGAAAAATGTTAGTAAAAGAATTGAATAGCTACTTCATGAATGGTCAATAAGCACATGACAAACTGCTCAACACCATTATTCATCAGAAAGATGCGAATTATAACACTGTGAGATGTCACTACATATTCACTAGAATGACTAAAATTAAAAGATAGCACCAAATTTGAGGAAGGATATGAGGCAGCATCCACATGCACAATCTCTTAGGAACAAGTCTTATAGTTTCTCATAATGCTAAATGTAAACCAGCCTTATAATACAGTAATCCCATGCCTTGGTATTTAGCTGAGAAAATGAAAACAAATGTCCATAAAAAGCCTTGTAGAAGAATTCCTATAACAGTTTTATTCATAACAACTAAAAATTGGAAACCGCTCGTATATTCATCAATAGAAAAATGGACAAACTGTGTTATGTTCATTCTGTGAAATAGTATGCAGTATTTAAGAAATAAAAAATACAGATTCCTCCACKCATGGTGGCGAATGCCTGTAATCCCAGCAGCTCAGGAGGCTGAGGCAGGAGGATCGTGAGTTCAAAGTTAGCCTCAGCAACAGTGAGGTGCTAAGCAACTTAGTGAGACCCTGTCTCTGAATAAAATACAGAATAGGGCTGGGGATGTGGATGTGGCTCAGTGGTTGAGTGCCCTGAGTTCAATCCCTGGTGCAAAAAAAAAAAAAAAAAAAAAAACCCACAAAATAAAAAAATACAGGTCCATGCAATGCCATGGATGAGTTTGAATACCATTATGCTGAATAAAAGAAGGCTCATACAAAAGAATACACATTGTATGGTCAACATGAAGTTTAGAATAGGTAAATATCATCTATCATGGAAAAAAATCAATACAAGTTGTTGCCTCTGAGGGAATGGAGCAGGAATTGACTGGGAAAGGGCATGTGAGAACTTTCTGGAGTGTTGGTAATGCTCTATATAGTTATGAGTTTGGGTCATTTATATATGGTTGTCAAAACTCAGTAAGTGCACACTTAAGATGTGCACATTTTATTGAATGTAATCTTTATTTCAAGAAAACTGGAAATACATGGAGGCTCCTATTTAATCATATTTTTGCTGAAGCATTTAGGGGATGTGTATAAATGTTTGCATTCAACTATGTGAAAAACAGCTGGATTGATGGAAGGATAGTGTTGGTTGATGAATAGATAGGTGGCAGGCAAGTATAGAAAAATTTTAGTGGTAAATTATGGGTGGTGGATATATTTACTTACTGTAAAATTCTTTCAATGTTGCATATGTTTGAAGTTTTTGTTATAATTAAAAAAATCAAAGAACCCAGCAATAATTAGACTCTTGAGCTTAATGTTTCAAGGTCCTGTTGACATGGGTATCCCTTTGATGCTTGGGACAAATAATCTCCTCTTCTATTAAAGAAATCCTGGAAAATTTAATTTTCTGATGGATTAGAGACAACTTCATCCTTGCTGGAGATATAAGCTTAAATGGACTTAGCCCTGGGGGCTTGTGCTTTATTAACATAACTTTTGTTATATTGATGGTAATGTTGTGTTTCCTTTTTTGGAGAAGTCCTTCTAAACTCTCCGGTCTTTCCTCTCTTCTCCCAACACTTTCCTCTGTGTAGGAATCTTCCCGCCATCCTGGATTGGGTGAAAACTCAGAAGCCTGGTGCCATGGGTGTCAACATCATCACGTCTGACTTCGTGGACCTGGTGGACTTTGCCACAACCGTCATTGAGTTGAATGACCTTCTGCAGGAGGACAGAGCTTTGGCTAAATGCTGATTTGTTTATTTAACCTAGGGTTGAAGTTGTTGATCCAGGGTAGAATTCTTTGAAGAATTTCCTGTTGGGGTGGCCCCTGGGCAGTGGTAGTGAAAAGAGGAGGAGTGCTTCTTTTTTTCTTTTCCTTCCTCACAGGGCCATTGGGATAACATTACAGGGCCTTCAGTTGCATTTTTCCCAAATGAGACTTTTAAAAAGCTTAAGTCTAAGGGAAGAAAGCATGTTTCATGTGCTCAAGGTCAGAAACTCCACAGTGACTTGAGGTAGTGAATGGAATATGGAAATAGGGTCTCCAGTCCATTGGAATATGGAGTATCCCTCAATTGATCCAGTTCTCTATTGGTTTCCAGGGTCTTGTGTTTGAGCCAGTGAGAAGGCTAAGCCAGAAAGGTATTCCTGGTCCAAAGGATGACTCATTATTGCAGGTTTGGACTGCCCTGTGGCTGGCTCTAACTTCAACTTGAGGTTCTGTTCTGGGAGGACAGGAAGCCAAGYATCAGTTCTCTCCAGGGTTGTCGAATGTCTCTACTACTTCCCTGAGGGAATAAGACCTGTTTGTCACCAAGGTGTCTCATCTACATGCTGTTTATGCATACCTTGTGTTGGTAACTGGTCACCTGAATTCTTCAGTTAAACAGTGCATACTGCCCTTGATATCAGAAATGTTTTCTAGTTTTAAAGCATTAATTCCTTTCTAGTATATGGGGGGGCCCTTCTTAAAAGGGAAGGAACAACGATGGGAGATCTTTTTGGTACAGGGCCCACCAAGAGATAGACATGCATGTTTGCTGCATGCCATCTTTCTTTGATTTAATTCTCTAGTAGTTTTCTAAAATAACTGCCGAGTGAACACCTGCATCATTTTGGCAAAGTCCTCTTTGGATTGGGGTCTTCAAGCCAGACCTTGGAATTGCATTTCATTGTTGTCTGCTTATGACTGAGACCTGCACATTGGCATACAGTGCCAAGTAGAAGGCACTTTGTCCATGACACCATGGAGGCTGACGCAGGATGCATGGGAGAGTACACTGGCATTAAAGGAGGAAGCTCCAAGTGGGTTTGGAGCCATTCTAAAACTCCTGGAAAACAAGACTACCTCGAGGACCTTTAGGATGACTTGTGTGTCATCGAGTGAGAAATACCCAGTGTTGGGACTTTTCCAGTGCTTGTCTGATTGCTCTACTTTCTGCAGGTTGTTCTGAGCCTACTTATCACTACTGCATGAGGGCTTTGAAACTCAAGAGGGGAATTTTTTTAACTGATAAGAGGTGCTTATCTATAAAGAGCCCTCTTGTGTTTTGGTTTATTTATTTATTTATTTATTCATTATTTATTTATAGAGTAAGTATCTGCTGTGCTTCTGACCTCAAGAGCACTCACACAGRAGATAACTGACCTTTCCTTGCCCAGAACAGACGCTGCCACAGCCTTCCTCCCCTTACCAGGACTGTGCATCTCAGGTCTGTGAGTGAACTTGGATTCTGCGGCAGGTGTCCTGGCTCCCCTAAACCTGCTGAGGACAATGTGGATGTGTAGATGTGATCCAGATCCAAGAACAACTGTCGAACCACACACAGGGACAGAAGATGGAATGGGTCATGAAGAACTCTCAATCCTTGAGTAGACCCTCCAGCAGAAAGCTGGAAAGAAAGAAGCCAGAAATAAAACTGGGCCTCAGGATGCACTCATTTTGATGTCCCTCAGCCCTGTTATATTGATGGGCTCCCTAAGGAAGTGTCAGTTTTGGGATTTTTAAAGAGAAAATATAAACCTGGAATCCGGAATGGATGTGGGCATTTATAAAGATTGCTGGACTCTTCTTCCAGCAGTTTCCCATTTCTGTCCTTTGATTTCACAGATTTTTTGCACATTGCCTGTATTGGGGGATATCTTAGGTGAGCTACCAACAGCACCTACGTCCCCCCATCTACTGGTCTTCCAGCCTTCACTTTCTGTAAAGCAGCTTAAGCCCTGACCTTTTGCATCCTCAGCTCAAGAAGATCACAACAGGAATGCCTATGGGAAAATCTGGTTTAACTTTCCCTGTTCTTGTATTTGAACTCTTCCCTGAAGAGGTTTCTAGGATAATATTGTCAAATTCTGTAGGGCCTAAGAAGGTGGGTGTCCTCACTTTCTAAATTTTCCCTCAGTTCYGCTGTTGAAGTCTAATGACTGGCTCTGAAATCCCTAGCTTAACCTCCGGGGTTTATTTTTGTTTTTATTGCTCCATTTTGGTTTGGTTTTTAATTCTTGGTCATTTGCTAAGGACCAGATCATTTTTCCTCTCCTAACCCTGTGGTACTTGACAAAGAGATAAGGAGGCAAGAGGAGAATTATTCTGCTCTGTTTTATTTGAGCCTCAGCTTTGTCCAGGTGCTTGGTGCTATGAGTCCAGGTGTTTTGACAGGTATCTGCACAGGAGGTGAGCAACACCCAATGGCTGCTGACTGTCCAGTAAAATGTTTACTTGATGTTCTTTCTTCATTTTTAAATATATAGTTGCACTTCTCTTGAATTATGACATTTAAATGCATCTTGGTATTTGCATGCTAAGAGAAAAATCTTGGAGCACGACACAGAAGAACAGAAAAATCCTAAGATTTCTTGTACAAAGCCTAGCTCTGCATGAGCCCATGCTGGCTTTTGCTCCTCCATGCTGCTCTGGGTTGCCAGCCTTGCTTGAATTTTGCAAATCTGCACTAGAGTTCTGGGAGGAAGGAGGATTTTTTCTTAGTAAATACTCAAATCTCTGCCCCCAGAAAAAGGCACACTTTATTGCAAAAAAAAAAAAAAAAAATGTGTGCATTCTGTTCCTTGATCATGAGGTTACACAGGAGAACTCCGGCACATGACACAGAGAGAAAGTAGACTTTAGGTCAATGACTTATTCTGCAACCATAAAAATGGTGATCCATCCCCATCACTTGTTCCAACAAGTTCTGAGTGATCAAAACAAGATCAAACAAAGACTCTCACACTTGCTCAGACTTAACTTCAAGATCAGCTAAACAGCTACTTGATTAAGCCAATGAGGAATTAATCTCACAGAATTTGGAGTCCTATTTACTCAGAAATATAACTGTTTTTTTTCATGAGCTCCATCGACCATTCCAAYACCATCACATTTCCATGATTTTGTGGCAAAGGGACCATCACAGATTTCAAATCAGTGAAAATAGTGTTTTAAAGGCTTGGACTTTTAGCTTATTAGAGGTACCATGTGGTGTCATGGAAAGAGAAGATATTCTGAAGACTGGAGAGAGAGGTCAAGATAGAATTGATGGAATAAAATGATAAGTTATTGAGGATTAAAGTTTTTTATTAATGGCAGATGAAAGAGGGTCATGCAAGATTTTTTTTATATCTGCTGCATTTGACTCAATAATAACTGTTTAGTCATTTTCCTTAGTGCTGAGTCCAGAGTCCTGAATTTTTGAAGTTAAGCCACAGTTCAAAATCCAAGTTTTAAATAAATGCAAAGAAAAGCACAAGATCTGAGCCCAGGTGATGCTATATCTTAACTATTTTATAGTTTCTTCTTGCATGACCTCATATTTACATAAAAAATTATGTTTCTGTCCAAGAGGACAATGTAATAGAGCACCTTTCTTAGGAAGAAAAAGGGCTTACACAAAATCAGGATATTGCAGATTGCATTCCTGCCAGAGAAGTTTTGCAGTGTTCTTCATTGCCTGTTAGGTTCTGGGAAACAGAATTGGCTAATGAATGAGACACTGCCATAAGACTCCACTCCCTTAGCTGAGCAAGCAACCCTGTGCAAAATTGTCCCTAGTTCTTTCATCTGTAATAAAGATGCAGTCTGCTACCTAGTGATGAGTGTTTGGAAAACCTTGGTGACTGGTTCCTGAAAATATAAGATCCCTATGTTTAGATTAAATGCCTTTTACTCAGGGGATGTACAGTTGTGGTAATTCTTCTTTCTATGTATGTGTATAGAGAATCCAACGTGGGCTCACTTCCTAAAAAAGTGTGGTGTAGGTTGACAGAACTTGACTGGGAATGGCACCTTCTGTATTATGTGTAATGAAATATGTAGGGCTCAAAAAACCTTCCAACATGCTTATGGGTTTCTGAGAGGTGGGCTTTCTCCATATATGCTAAATAGTCTTGTTAGGCCAAGAGGAAATTTGGTATGGCACAGAAGAATATGGTTGCCCATTGAAATTCCACTCACTTTCCAGTATATTTTGATCCTCTGTTGCAGGCTGGATCCTGATGTTTGCCACCATAGCTTGTCATTCAAAAATATTGCCCTGGGAAACACAGGAGTGCAATGATTAAATGATAAGAGGTTTACCTGGAAACTTTACCCTTAATACCAGAAGATTCTGATCAGCTCTTTACTGCCCCCAAGAGACACCTTATCTCCTTAACCTTTGGATTCCCAGCTTCCTGCTAGAAACAGCATACCAACAGCACTGTATTTCTGAACTAGCCCTAGCTTGGAARTACACACTACAAAATGCTATTGATTTTCTTAAAATAGCACAGTGTTAGATACTGTAAAAAATACTCTGAGATAATGCTATCCTGCTTTAGATATAGTGTTTTAGCATCTTCAACAAAACTTGTTCTACTTAGGACTTTTCAAACTCATTTCTAAATCAAATGATTTAGATAAAATATTTCCCTTCCCTTTTCTGGTAGTTCAATTCCACAGTCTGTTGAGGCAATTTCATCAGCAGGCTAGAGGTACTTTTCTGTGTGATACTTTCCTCTCTTCTTCATAGAATACCACTTTGTCCTCTTGTCTTCTGGGCATCCTCCATCACCTGCCAATCACTCTTCATTACAGGATGCTGGCAAAAGCACATACATATATACAGTGATGACCAGCACACTCTATCACAGTGAGGTTTTTCTTCTTAATTGTTTTCAGTGCATAATTYTGTCCCCCAGCCCTACCCAATCATTAGAATGATACTTGATTTTAGTCCAGAACTTGGGACCAACACTTTGTTCAAATAGCACAGGCTTGCTCACAAGCTTTAAGCTTAATAAAAAGCACAGCACTTTGAAAAGGCAAATATAGATCTTTGGTAGTTCTGTACATTTGAAATTTTACATTGTTATTAGTTTATAGCACTAATAACACTTCAGTTATGAATCTGTAGTACCGACATGATAAATCTTAGAACCTATTCTAGAAATATTACCTTGCTGCTATTATACTTACTAATTTACAACCCAGTATTAGTAAGTGTTAAACACAGATTGTGTATGCATTATTTGTATTGTGTATATGCCAACTATAATACTTAACCTCACTGATCAGCAATTAAAAAAATACCGAAATTGTCATAGTGAAAATAAGTCTTGATCAATTCAGATAATTTATGGATCTGATAAATGCTCTAATAGATATTATATTTTCTCCTCTATTACTTGTTTTACACTACAGTGCATGTTTGTTAAGTTAAAATAATAATAAATTKTACCAATTTTAAGGCTTTAGGATTAAAATTTTGCATATATGCTCCTTGATACTCTGAAATGTGTTTTATGGCTTAATTATCTTATTTGTACACATTCACTTGGCTTTTTTCCCCTCTAGGAAATAATTGTTCAAATATATCTCTTCTTGTTACCTTGATTAAACTGTGTAATTCAACCTAGAACATTGTAAAGCCAAAATACCTCATTTTAACTGTGAAAAAAAAATGTCAAGGGATATGATGACATGATGTGTTTCCTTGTACTTGATTTGAATGACATAAATAGGCTTATAACTAATAATAAATATTAAACATCAAAATTTTGACAGGCATGTTTCCTTTGTTTTAATGAACATTGTATTATTGGATTCACTCCAAATTTTATTTTAAAGAGCTACAGACTCAGTGTCAGTAAAATAGCTCATTATGCAAATATTAGATGAACATCCTTTCAGCTCTGCCTAGAACATGTTGGGATTAGCTAAATATGCCCACAGTTCCCAAGATGAGCAGTGTGTGAAACATGTACATAACCACATCATCCATGCTTTCTTCAAGCTTTATCCTTAGAGCACTTCAGTTACTTGTACTAGTTTTAGACCAGTTCTTATTGACATCCATATTCTCATGCTACTGCCTTCTCTGATGCACATTAAACTGAGTGATTCCTGGATGCCCAGAAGTAGAGCAATTCAAGAGATGATTTGTGCACACGATGAGTAAATAAAAGTGGACCTTCAATTTATGTTGCAATGTCCCACATTTTTCTCATTCCTAATTATTTTTTACAGAATATCTAAATGCACTTTCAGTTTTTTTTTTATTTTGCCTTATCTGTTACAAAATAATGGATTATTGTGAATGTCCTTTCTATGGATTTAACAGAGATTCAATTAATTCTAAGTAATCATTTATTTGATATGGTTGAATGTTGGAACAGGTGATTAGGAGTAATGATACATGTGTTTAAGTTCATAGCAATTTAGAACATAGTCACAGTCAGAATTTTCTGCCTGTATTTATTGTTTAGTAACTCTAATTCCTCTGGTTGGTTTTAATAAGCACCACGTTCAGTGATTCCAATTTAGTTTTTAGTAGTAAGTCACTAAAATAGTATATATTTTAGTGACTTACTACTAAAAACTGGTTGGGTCCAAACATAAGCAGAGTAGGTATAACCTGTGTGATTTAATTGCAGAGATATTGCTGTCCTGCCTCAATTTCTCAACATACACTGTGGTTAATATATTGCTGCTATGATAATGGAGCTCTTGCATTATGTAGGAAGTCTTCAATATCTAATCACAGATTGATTTATCAGATTACTACAAAGTTATAAACATGCACAGACCCAGATTTCTATTCCAACTGCATCATATTCTGGCCATGTGACCTTAAAGCAAATTATCTCTGTATCTCTATGTTTATAGAACATAGGGTTATTAAATGTCTGCTATGAAGGTGTTAAGCCAAATAAGAGAGCTACAAAACTAAATAAGGAAATGTGTGGAAAGCATTTTAGCACAAATCATGGTACATAGTAAATTTTCAAGAGTAGCTATTAGTATTAAGGGAAGGAATTTTATACTTACCTTCTCCAAATAGTACTAAACAAAATCTTTTAAACATGATTGGCTGCTAACCTTTGTGTTCATTGAATGATTTAGCAGGAACTAATCAATGAGAGATAAAGTAGCTAGATTTGGATGGTGGAAGAGAAATGTATTGAAAATTCTTTGTGTGGCATATTTACAGGGGCTGTGTAGCAGAAGGTCAAAGCAACTAGAAGATACTGAATGCTTAGACTGGGTCATATTATCTTTCTCTCTCTCTCTCTCTCTCTCTCTCTCTCTCTCTCTCTCTCTCTCTATCTATCTATCTCTCAATAGGTGAGAAAGGGTGGTAGTCAGGGGCAAAGAGCTGGACCTTATATAAGGAAGTCTCTGGAGACAATGTCTTATGATGTATCTATTGGGGGTTACCACTTCTGGAAGCTTCCTAATCTGAAATGCTCATAATAGACAAGTCTAGACCCAATCCCTGGAGTTCTAATTTCTTAGGATATTATCTCAGGAGGAGTCAATGAAAAAATATACTTTGGTTTTCAGTTAGGCAGGACATTTCCGGACTAAATATGCATTGCTCAGAAAGTGGAATTCATGCCACTGGTGATATTTATGATATTTATGAGGTGGAAATGGCCACATCTTTAACATTAGGCATCAAGACCACTAATCACTTAATCAATCCTGATTAGTTAGGAAGGAAGTCTTAATTTAGTGATGAAACTTGTCTATCCTATTTATCATTCCACAGAGAAAGGTAATAATATCTATCATTTAGTATTATTTGTTTATATTGTATTTATTTTGTGGTTAKCTTCTCTTTGTAGCAAGTGGTCCTGGGTTTTCAGTAGTGATATAAAATTCCCTTTCAAAATGAATTTAAGATTTTTAATGAGTGCACTATGAAGAAGCTATAGGAATGGCCTAAATTTGTGATCCTTCTCATTTTTCGGGGAAGGGTACCCTTGGTTCAGCCACACATTTTTGCCTACAACTGGGTTTGGTTGTTGTCTTTGTAAACATCTGTGYTCACTAAATATATAAATAGGTACTACTTGAGATAGAAAGTCATCTCTCTCTTTCWTAAGGGAACTTTCTTCATGTTTTTGGCAGAAGTCTATGCTCAGATAATCTCCATGTCCTATGGAGGAATTTAAACTAGAAAAATCAAGTTCTTGGAGACTATCCACAGAYGGCTGTTCTGGGTAAACATGGAATACCAGAAAGCAAACTCCAGTTCTTCAGCTTAGAAAGTGATTCCTTTTCTGTGAATCCCTGATGTTAGGATGCCTGAATGTCCTAGATCTTGTTGTGGTTTTTTGTTTTTCCTCCAAAGGAATTCTTCCTGATCAGCAGTATGTTTTTGTTTACCCCTCTGCAAATCTGCTCACTATGACCAAAGGAGTGTTATTATTTTTAAGACATGAAGCCTTTCATTTTCAGAGAGGGTGGGAGGTTGCAAGGGAGGGACAGTGGACAAAGCTCATGTGCCTCACCCAGGAAGGCTTGGACAAGTGTCAAAAAACAAAAGCACAAGTCAGACCAGGGTGTTTTCACAGCTGGGCAGTGTTTGGGGATAGCATGGGGTGGTTGGGAGGACACAGAAGTGTCAGCCTCTGTCCAGTAGCATCATGTGATTGAGAGAAGTCTTAGGCAGTCAGATGGCTTTAATCTAAGGGGCCAAGCATCTAAAGAACAGGATTTATCCTGCAGAGAAAGGTCCTAAGAAGCAAAGCTCTTAGTGTAGAAGGAGGCCACTGAAAGCTGTTCTTTGTTTAACCTAAGAACTTAGCTGCTTTTTAGCCTAAAGACGTTCCTGCCCTGATTCTTACTGGAAGTTCACTCAATCCAGGCCCAGTGGGTCTCCTTTTTAAGACCTCCATGAAGTGTAAGAAGAAAGTGTTAGACTGATTTTTGAAAAGCTTCCACTAAACAAGGACCTTGTGGGTGTAGAATGCACAAGGTGGTGCTTCAGGTCAGCTAGCATGCCTTGAAATGACGCAGAAAATCTTATATAGTGTACACTCAAAAAAATGTGTGTATAGCTTTCTATAGCTTTCATTGAATTTCTTAGAGAAATTTGTGATCCTAAATTGTTATAAACCACTCTCTTTCACGTGTCTATGAATTATCATTTAAGAAAGAAACAATGGTTAATTTAAGG